TGCCAGCCTTGCCTTTGGCAAACTGTCTTGCCAGGTGTTCAACAATCATAACATCAGAATACATACTAAACTTTTAGTTTACAAAGCAATGGTAATCCCAAGTCTCCTCTATGGCTGTGAGACTTGGGTGACCTACAGAAAACACCTGAAAAACCTGGAACGCCAGCACCAGCACTTTCTTCGGAAGATCCTCAAAAAAGAGTGGGAGGATCATCACACTAATGTCAGTATCCTCACAGAGGCCAACTTCTTCAGTGTTGAGGCCCTGATTATCCAGCACCAGCTGAGGTGGAGTGGGCACTGTGTGAGCATGCCTGATGTACAGTTACCAAAACAACTGCTGTATGCACTGAAGGAGAAAGAAAACACAGGTCAAGAGAAACGCTTTAAAGCCACATCTCTTGATGTTATCTTGAGGGTGTCATCAACACCAGACACTGGGAGACAGCAGCCCACGATAGGGATAACTGGCGAAGACTTGTCAGAGAGGTCTACTCTTGAGGAAAATCGCCTTGCCATGGTCATAGAAAAACACCAGAAAAGAAAGGAAAGACAACGGTCATGCAGCAATCACAGCCCAAACCTGTCTTCCAACACCTCCTGCAATGTTTGCCAAAGAGCCTGTGGCTCAAGAATCGGACTCTTCAGTCACCAAAGAACCGATGAAAAATAAAACCTGTGAAAGAGATCGTACTCGACTTTGAGGGATCACCGACAACGACTATTTCTGGTCACCTGTGCAAACCGTATAATGAGCAATTTGGTCATAAAGTGCTGTCACTGCTGTGTAGGATTATTGTTCACTTATAAGCAATCGTTTTTAATTCAGGAGTAGGCTACTCCTGTAGTGGAATTTATGGATCCCTGTATAGCATATAATGTAGTTTAGGATTCCACAGAATAAAAGGATATAAGTGAAAGGCCATCATCATATACACCTCTGTGCACAAAGAATATATTAAATTAAAATCTACACAAAAAATAAGGTAGCTTGCTTCCGTTTTCGCCTTTATGTTATTAGAAAGTTCACTTTCCACTTTTAAGGAATCTAAAAAAAACTTCAAACCTTTTAACTCTATTGAAAGCGAGATTTTTTTTTTTTGTCAACTCTAGGATAAGTATATTTGTTTTCCTGTACTATTTCTAGGGAGTAGTTTAATATAATAAAAACTTTTAATAGAATAATCTAGCATTTGTTGGAGAGTTTACTTTTTCTAGTGATTTCCACAGGGAGCCTTTAACTTTTGTTTAAAAAACTTAATGCTGCAGATCATAAACAACTTGACTGGAAATCCGAGTCTTGTGCTTTATAAGAAACATTTATAAGGTATCATATCAGAGTGGAAAATGTCACAATGTATCAGAATGAACAGGAAGGAGCAGGTAGTCTAGTAATACATTGTTATAACCTAGCACCTCATAAAATACACATGCTGGTTGAAGCATGTTTTATGCCCCCATGGGTTAGGTCCACTGAATTTCAGCAGTTGTAGCATCACAGCATGCTGGGAAGTCACAGATGCATGTTAGTCAGTGAATCAAATTCTCTAAAGACCTAAAATTCATCTCAAACAGCATAATAGAAATTTCAGAATGAGATTTGGGCTTGGATATGGGCTAGTTAAATGAAATACAATGTAGCATTGGGAAAAACAAGCAAAAGAGATGGTGTAGACTGTATCACTACCAGTGACTACAGGAGAGCACCCCACATTTCTTTCTTTCATGTAATTTGGCTGGGGGTGGTGGTGGTGATCTTGTTAGATCCTTGAGTAATACTGCTTTTACAAATTTAGCACTTGGTAAAAACATCACAAACCTTTTATATAGATGTAGATTGTGCTCTAGTTATCCATGCACTGATCCAAATAAACTTACTATATTAATTTTTCCTTATTTTACATTAATGAATTTTTAAACCTAATTTGCATAATTGTGTGTGGGACTATATTAACAGTGACAGGCGGATCACTTGAGAAGAAATTTACGGACATGCTCCAAGGATTTCCTTTGCTAGTTGCATACCATATGCCTCTGATCAACTGTCAAAGTTATTTAAGAAAAATGTTTATCATGATCCCACCACAAGACATATCAAAACACTAATTACAACAAGAGACAGTTACTGAAAAGAACAGCTTCATTATGGAAGTCTCAAAGAAGGATCACTGATATTTGTACTAGCTTTTTAAAAATTGTATTATATGCATATTATGGAAATCGTATGTCAAATACCAAATAGAGAAGACTGTTATTCTTTAACAGTGTTTCTATTAAAAAAACAAGAATCCTTGTAAACTAACCTTTAATTTCCCTACAGTACATCTCAATTTAATTGCCTGTCAAACCAATCAAAACTTCTATTCATCAGGTTACTCCCTTGCTTTGTTGAAGGACAAAGTGACAATATTTTAATCAATGGAGAACACTGATCTATTGGAACGTTTTTCATTCAGAGTAACTAGATGCATTTCTAAAACGCAAACTGCAGAGAGTCATTAAACTCATACAATTACTTGTTACATCATACATTTAGGTCATGTAAAATGCCTTTGATCTTTCAAAAACAATAATTAATAAAGTTGCCTTTTAGATATTCACAAGTGTACTGTAATCTGAATGAGGTGAACAAAATACTGGCTCAAGTTTACAGTTTGAAAATATACCAACTTAAATTATTTTGTATTGGTTAAATTTTTTAATTCTAAAAATTGCCAAGCTAACCAAGCAACTTTTTTCATTTACCATAATTTCTGTTCATTTTCAGCACAGCATTTGCATATGTAAAATGAAAAAGGGACTAAGTATATTAATGTTAAGGAACTAAGCGGTAATTACTGGATAGGAGTAATGGGATTATTCCCAAATTTATTGCAATAAAAACTTTACACCCCACATGACATAGTAAAAAGGTTTTTGAGAAGCAGCTGTGTTAGTCTGTATTCGCAAAAAGAACAGGAGTACTTGTGGCACCTAAGAGACTAACAAATTTGAGCATAAGCTTTCGTGAGCTATAGCTCACTTCATCGGATACATCAGGTTTTTGTTTTTGTGGGGTTTTTTTTTTTTTTTTTTTTAAGACAGTGGTTGAAGATATTGGCTCTGTTTAACCTAGAGTTACTTTAATTTATTTTTAAGCCTTCTTGCCAGTTATCGTGTTGCTATTTCACAAAGTTCTATCAAATTATCCAACTAAACAATCCTATTCTTGAGACATCAAGAATCCTGCATGGTCTGAAATACCATGTTTGCAGCAGAAGAATTTTTACAAAATAAATGGGGAAGTTTTCCTTTTATGGAGTAGAAGGGAATATCTGCCTTAGAAACAGAATTTTTGAGAATTGGGATATGTGTGCCCAGTCTCTAGGCTAGGTTTTGGAATCAGTGTAATAGACAACTACATTGATTGACATCCTGATAAAGCAGCTGTGTATGATCAGTGTTATGAGAGAAAACTGATGAATTGGAGACTGGACACGAAAGGGACTATGAAGCTGACTTATTGTTTTCTACACTTTGCCTAAAAAGGAAACTAAGATGGGAAAATTCACCAGATTCAATTTGACTCAACTTAAACTTCAGAAAGTTGAACTACATTTGGAAATTGTAGATTCATGCTTATACACGGACTTATTATGCTTCAGTGAATTTACCGTGGACTCTTTACTGTATTTTACAGGAAACCTGATTCAAGAGCATTAAGGGAATTTTTATTTCTCGGCACTAGTGGAGGTCTTTGGGATATCTAGCATTTTAAATGATAGAAATGTAATATGTTAAGAAAACTAAATGCTAACAAATAAACTTCCTATATTCTCAGATTTGCTACAAAAGATATTAATCTACAGACCCTTCAATGAGAAGCTCAGAATCTTTGACAATCTGGTCATTGATTAAAATATCTGAATATGAATTTAGGTGATTAACTTTAGGCATCCAAGTTTGACAACTCTGGCCATAGTCTGTTATTGTCTTTCAAGACCCTCACAATCTTAGCAGGAGATAAATACCAAGGGGGGAAAAAAAACCCCACCACCACAAAAACCTTCCTTACCTAAAAAACAAGACTTCACATGCAGGTAAAACCTCAGTCATAGAAAGTCCATACATTATATCTGTGGTGATGTTAAATCTCCAATTGCAGAACTGAACTCAGTAACAAAAAAATAAAGTATACTGTTTAAAGAAAAAAAAGGAGGTGGAGATTCAAACACCAGACAAACTGTAAATTCCATTGTCCAAGCAGGAAAGAACTTCAAAATTAGTATTTAGTAAGCAAGTATTTAATAAGCAAGAGACAATCAAATTGTCTCAAATTCTGCCAATATAGCATTGGTGTGGACAGCATGAAACTTGTGCCGTTTGGGGCAAGGGGCGCAAAGTGGGCAACATAAAGTTAGATCAACTTAAGCAGTAGTGTAGACCTGCCCATGACCATTAAGTTTTCCATCTTTCTTCTAACACCAGTACTAGCATACTCATCTGACAAATGGATAAACTACTACTGAGAATGAGTAGATTGCTCAAGACTGCAGAGTCAAATCAGGGGAAGAGACAGGATTCAAACTCAGGAGTGCTGATTTTTAGTTTTCTAGCAACACTGCCTCCTCTTAAATATAGGAAGGGGGCAGGAAGGAAAGAACAGATTAAGCCCTTCACCCTTGCAGGCTAGATTGCCATTCACAATGCACACTACTAGAAATGGCTGTAACAGTTCCATTGCCAAGTTAATGTCCATTTTCTTTGAGTTTCTCCTGTATTTTGAACCAAGAGGATAGCCAAAAATTCAGAGTCTTAGTGGTTGTTCCAGTTAAGAGGAGAAAGTAACGATGAAATAGGTACCTTTAATGCAATCTTATTTACAAATAATGTACAAAGTCCTGCTTCCCCTAAACCCAGAAGGAATCAAAACAATAGGATATAGTTTCTTTGCTTATAACGCCAAACATTTTTTAGCTAGCACCAGACCCAAAAGCCCTCTCTCTATGCTTCTCACATACCACTTGTCCAGCCTGATTCCAGCTTCCTTCTCTGTCTGTTTCTGTGTACTTCTCTGTCTGAAAGAAAATTAACAACAGGGTGGATGGCAGTGGTCTCTTGAGCCCTTGAAGCGTCTCTGTTATTTTGTGGAATTTACTGGCTTACACAGAACATGCCCATTTTGTTCTAATGGGGAATTCACCACTCTGAATTTTCCACCCTCAACTTCCACAGGAACAGTCTCAGTTGCAGGGGTCAGCCATGATGAAATCATGTCCCACCTTGAATAGTCCTGTGGGATAACTTTGCGCTTAGTCCTGGGACCCAACAGTATCCTATACACAACTTCATTTATTTTTGTGTCAGTACTGTATAGGGTCCTTCCAAAGGTTTATATAGATTTGGACTCCTCCCCTTCTTTCTTCCAGGATTATTTGGAACCAGACCAAGTCCCCTCTTTAAAAAGTTTCCCCATATGACCTTTTCATCTTATCAGAAGCTATCATTGAATTTTCTCTAGCAAAGGTGTGAGCTTTTCCAGTTCTGAATTGTAGGGTTTCTACATAGTCCAAATTCCTTTATTCCTCTTCAGGATCTCCATACAAGAGGCTGCTGCAGTCCTTAGTGCAAGCCCAAACATGAGGAATGCTGGGTATAGGTGGTACTCTCACTGACTGCTGTTCTATAAACCAGTGGTCCTCAACGAGGAGTATGTGTACCCCTGGAGGTACACAGAGGTCCTCCAGGGGGTACATCAACTCATCTAAATATTTGCCTAGTTTTACAACAAGCTACAGAAAAATAACTAGCCAAGTCAGTACACACTAAATTTCATACAGACAATGACTTGTTTATACTGCTGTATATACTATACACTGACATGTAAATACAATATTTATATTCTAATTTATTTGTTTTATAATTATACGGTAAAAATTAGAAAGTACGCAATTTTTCAGTAATAGTATGCTGTACCACTTCTGTATTTTTATGTCTAATTTGGTAAGCAAGTAGTTTTTAAGTGAGGTGAAACTTGGGGCTACACAAGACAAATTAGACTTCTGATGTAGGAGCAGGATTGTATAATTGAACTATAAGAATAGAGGTACTAATGTATGTCTTGATTTCATTTTACCAGCCACCCCATTTGAATAGCAGAAAGATGACCCTTTGGGGCTAGGAGAGATTCTGTTTCCCATGCATTACAAATAAGGCCCTTTTAGTTCTTTGTTTTAAGGCTTAACTAGTAAGAGACAGGATCCTGTGTTGTGTCTTATGTTAAATGGATTAGAGGAATGTTGAAGGCCTACGCGCCAATGTGAATTGTTTTGGTTATAAAATGTAGTAAGCTTTAATTTACAATGTCTTTTACTTGATATAAAATACTGCTGTTAGTATTCTTAAAGGTCTCTGTAAAAGACTGTTTGTGTGAATGAGGAACGTATGCATCAGGAAAAGATAAGGTATGAAGGCCATTGTTATAGCCAGATGGTCAAGGAAGGAGTGAAGAGACTTGACATCAGAGAACCATTGATGTGCATCCATAATGAAGGAAGGGCAGACTGATGACCCTGAGGTGAAGGCTGGCCCCCGTAAAGACAGGACAATTGATTAAATCGAAATCAGGACAGGATGACCCTCTCGGAGGTGTATTGGAATGTTGACATCAAGAGATACACCAATTAAGAACTAACCGGTCCCAAACGGACACAGCAAAATCCATAGACTTCAACAGACAAAAAAAGACTATAAGAACAGGGTGGTTGGCCATGGGACTTTGGATTTGTCTTGCCACACTCCAGGAGCACTGGAGCGTGACCAACAGAGCCCTGCTCCCCTCTGCGACCAATCTGGCTGGCCACTACATTGATCCAAACTATAAACATCAACTGGCAGAGGAAGGGGGGTGTGTGTGTGTGTGTGTGTGCACGCGCGTGTGCACACGTGTAAGTAAAGCATATGCTACCTGTTGTATTCTCAATAAATGTGGCGTGCTGCCTTCTCCCCATAAAGATCCCATGTGCTTCTTCTAAGTATAACACCGAAACAGGTATAATAGTCTGAAAAGGTTGAGAGGCACTGCTATAAACCTTCAAAAGGAATGCGATATTCTGTTACCAGTCCATTTGGTGCTGTTCTATAAAAAGGTAGTGAGCTGAACACCACCATCCCATTACACTACGGACGAGCTGGGGTATTGCACGTTTTATGAATCCCTGCTGAAGCACTTTGGATTCTAAGTTTCAAAGAGATCAAAAGGAGAAACTCAGTTGGGACCCCAATTGAACGACAAAGTCATTCACTAGGATGCCTGCCACCATCACAGTGCCTTGATTTCTTACTGGGTAAACTTCAGCTCATTTTGTGAAGTAGTCAATAGCTACCACAAAATAATTGATTACTAGCCTGTCTCATGCAAAGACCCAAACATATAAATAAAATATTGTTTCAGAAAGGCTCTCCCAGTTTTAGGAGAACCCTTCTTTGCAATGTGAGCATCAATTTTCCTGCACCAGTTTTTTACATCCTGCCTGCATTTTACCCAATAGAAAACCTCTCAGCTTGGCTAAGATTTTTGCAACCCCACAGTGTTCAGCAGTTTTAAAATAATCACAACCTCAGAACTTTCTTTTCAATGTATATGGCACAAATAGCCAATACCTTTACCCATAACCTGCTGGTTTTTTCCATCTTTTAACTTCAGGTTTTCCCACTGTGACCAGAAAGCATTTATTTTGGTATTGTGAAGGGATACTGCATTCCAGAATGGCTGTGTTTGCCAATGGATTTTCCCACCACATACTATTCTTATATCAAGATCCTCTCTTTAGAAAGCTTTTAGCTGCTCTAAAGTCTACTTCTACGACACCAGGAACATTTTCACTTCTGAAAACTGTGGGAAGAAGACAGACACTCATTTCTTCCTAGGAACACTCTTTCTTTAGCAATGAATTCCTTGCTCTCCTGGCACTGTTTGCAATTAGACACCGAACAAAGCATCAGCACTATCATGTCTGTGCACAGACAAGTGTGCAATTGTGAAATCATAGTACTGCAAGTTTTTCCAACGACCTGGGAAGTTGCCTTTCAGGATACCCTGAATCTGAAGCGCCATTGCAGGGACCTTACACTTTCTTGCATACAAATAGTGATGAAAATATTCTACATATTTAATCACTTCCAGAAGTTCCTTTCAGGTACTGCAAGAATTTATCTCAGGAAAAGTTAGACATTTGATGTAATAAGCCACCACCTTCTCCAGTTCTTTGTGTTCTTGTGTCAACACTGACCTCAAACGAAAGCATTAGCATATTAGTCCAATATAAAAAAGCATTTTGAAACATGGATAGGCAAAGACAGGAGCAGTCACAAGAGCCTTTTCCAACTCTGAAAATGCCTCTTCACACTCTGCTGACCACTGAAATGGTTTTCCTTTCTCAACCAACTTATGTAGTAGTTTTGCAGCAATGGCAAACACCAATAAATCTTCTGCAACAGGAGCAGAGATCTATAAAACTTTACATATCTATGAATGTCCTGGGAGACGGCCAATCTGTACAACTTCAATTTTTCTTTTTATCAGTGGAAATTCCTTCCACACTGATTGTGTGCTCAAGATAAATTACTCCATTTTGAAACAATTCACATTTTGGCGGTTCAATTTCAGATTGGAAACATTCTGTTTACCACAGACGATTTGTCAATCAATACATGTTCACCAAGATATAATATAGAAACAAGCAGCTGAAAGAGGCATGCCATGTAATACTTTCTCCAGTTGTCTGTCAAAAGTGTCTGGTGCATTGCACAAGCAAAACAATTATTTCAAGTTATCGCAGGCCTTGACCTGCTGTGAAAGTAGTTTTTCCTTTGTATTTTCGATCCACTTCCACTTTAAAGTGACTCCACACAGAATCTGGTGCTGCCATCTATTTTCTCATCCAGAACTATGGTTGAGGCCCAGGGACTAGTAAAGCCTTTGTCTTTATTTTTCCCTGTTGGAAGGACATTCCCCTCCTCCCCGCAATATAAAGCACAGATGATTAAATATATCACTACACACTTTAGGGTATCATTTGCTTCCAATATACAACATCCTCTTGAACAAACATGGTACCAGTGCACCCTAAGATGTCTTACATATTTCATTATGGATACAACAGAGGAGCTTTAGGCTATGCTTCAGGTTGCACTGAAATAAAGCAGAGAGTAAACCTTGGTTATACTGAAAAATAGCGTATCCTCTACAAATTTACAGCACTTGAAGTGCAGAATAAGTTTTGTGTTTTTGATTAAATTTTTTAATTTTTAAAATTGGCCATTTAAGAATGCTCTTGCTGATTTTCAGGAAGCACAACCTTCACTTTAAATTGCCGGTCAATTTCCCGGCTTTTCCTAATGTCTCTGTTTTTGTGTGGTTGAGTACTCTTACTGGTTCTGAGAACTTTCTGTTTTTAGCTTCCAGCTTCCATGCTCTGGAAGGGTACAAAGCACTGATAAACAACCTTAACTCTCCTTTAACAAGCTTTTTTTGTTGGTGAATATACAGTCCATAAAGAACAGAATTCATCATAGGCTGTGTTTATTTCATTTCCACCCCCCATCATGTCTTCCTTCCTTATTTTTCAATTTCTACCTATGATAGTTCCAGAATATGGGGTTGGGGTGGGGAAAGGCAAGAGCTATTTCCTTAGAAAATGTCTAGAGAAAGATTAAGTAGCACCAATGCTATCAACCAGTTTAACCTAAGGGTGCTTTTCAATTTCTAGCTGATGACTAATTAAATTCTAATTGTATATGCTTTTGGGAGTATTTGTCTCTTTCAGCATCTGACCCGTCTGTCATCGTCCACTGTGCATCACATTAGCTCTGAGCATACACAGGGAGTTCTTCCTGAGCCACCATGACCCCAGGAGTTGTCCCTGTGAGAGTTTCATGACTGAATCCAATAGACCAGCTTGGATCTGCAGTGTATATATTTTCCTTGTGACACAGACATTTCCCATGTATTTACCGTAACGTACAAAGAATACATGTAGTATATGCACTATATATTGACAAGCACACAATTAGGTCTATTTGCCACTAGTTAAAAATTATCACTGTGGCGAGTACTTTGGTGAATGAAGCATAAGAAAGTATTGCCAACTGTCATTTCTACCAATTCTAAAAAATCTCTAGACAGAACATTTTCAGAAGAGTTCTGCTCTCCTTTATTACAAATATCTGAAAAATAAAAAGGTTGATGTTTGCTGTTTTGGTTTTGAATTGACTGTAGTGAGTCTTAAGGAAACAGTTGTCATGTTTAGTGTCTTATGTGGAGAAGTCTGTGTGACTATTAAAAAAAATAAGGATAAAGCTTGAATGGTTAAGCACCAAAAAGTCATTAAATGCCAAAGTTTAGGATGCTACTCTGTATGCACTACAACGCAGTTGTATTATTAATGATTTGTGTTCTCAAATATAATACCAAAATATTTCTACATTCCTCAATATACATTTGGCATCTTGTAAATTTCTTTTTCTTTACATACTATAGTTCCATTAGTTTTTCTGTCATATAACAGTTATTAATTTAGTGGCAATCCTAAGAGCTGCTGTGCACTGCTTCAATGGAAGTCTTCTCAATTACAAATTGCCTCAACATCTGTATTTCAATCATTCACAGCACCCATATTCTATACACTTAGATATTCTCATGTTTGGAGACATGCCTCTGAACAGCAGTTTATTATTTCTATATCTCAGACACGGTTTCTCAGAGAAATACACATATACAAGGGTAAGATAGCCAAACATGGAAGGCTCTGATTTAGCAAGCAATGGTTTAATAAGAACCAGTAGCTGAAAGTTGAAATTTTAAAAAATTTATCTTTCTTTCAAACTTGAAATAATCATGTGTAATTAATCACTGGAACAATTATCTAGGGAAAAAATGCTTACTTATCCTACAGCCACTGTCATTCTTTAAGAGTTGTTTTCAGTATAGATTCCACTGTCAGAGGACACACACGTGCCCCTTTTAAGTGCTCCAAATGTTCAATGTTGGATTCTTTGGAATAGCAGTATGCTTCAGGGCTGTGCATTCTTGTGCTACCATGCAAGGGCAAAAAAGGGAGATGTAGCTTTTTCTATGATGTTCTTCAATTTGGATAAAATATGTATACTGGCATTTGAACTGTAATTGTGTAGATATTAAATAACGTTTAAATGTTTTTAAGTGAGTTTGCTACTGAAGCAACACATTGCCGTACTTTGATAACTACATAAGAGATTAGTGCAAGGATTAATTCTAGTATTTGATATTTGAGATATTAGTGTAAATTATAAGGAAATAATCCTAATCCAAGTAAAAATATCGATAAAATTTTGAAGTTTTTTTTCATTATTAGGTTGTCATAGGTTGTCCTCAATTCACACGTCAGTCAACTCTGCTCACAGGAAATTTCTCATGGGTAAACTTCACTTATTGTACAAAAAAACCCTAAGAAATTAGCTGATCCAAGCAAAGGCATTGTAAAGTATCTACTTCAAAATAATGAAAAAATATCAACTTGTAAATACAAATACAAACCTTACTAAGAGTACTTATATCATCCAGTTAAAAAAAAAAAATTCAACATACATCCTCTCCAGGAGTACTGTAGACTCCAAGAATGAGGATTTAGAATTATTTGTCTTCAATATACCTATAGTACCCAGTAGTAATCATAATACAATTATCCTTCACCTTTCTGTCCCCTAACAGAGTTGGAGTCTGTTTTGTTTTATAAATGATATGGTCAAAAGAAAAAACTGACCTTTCAAGGAAGTTGGTAAAACTTATCCCACAATACCAGATAGGAATGTAGTGTTGGAGGCATTTATTAGAGTTTTAGAGAGTATTCTGATCACTTCATAGGTCAAGAGACCATTTTTTTTTGCAGACCTATGATATCTACTTTAGAGACTTTGAAATTAATTTAATTGTGTAAATAAAATAATTTTGATAGTGACACACAAACAATTGTGCACTGCCAGAGAACCAGCAAAATTTGTCTTTGCAGCTCTTGCTAGATTGCTCACATTTGGTTATCTACTTTGCTTTTATCCTGCTTAAATTCACAAGTATGATTCTGAATGTGTCTTTTTTAGCTGTGGAAGATTCACACATTTATCAGAAAGCTCACACTTATGCTAATGACACTACAGTCAACATCCACAATACATAAAACCATTCTTAAAATTCCCCACCTGTCTTCCAGTGTCTAGCATTTGTATAATCTTAATGTGTTTAGATACTGATGTTTATTTTTGTTATGATTCTCACTAAATAGTAAAGTTTGAATGTAAAGAGACAGTTAAAACTATCAGACTCCATTATATTATAAATAAGGCTGCGAGTTTTTCACAGAGGTCACAGATTCCGTGACTTTCCATGACCTCCGTGACTTCTGCAGCGGCCAGTGCGGCTGACCCTGGGGGCCGCCTGAACAGCTCCGGTGGCCCCGGGCCAGCTGCACCAGCTGCTGCTGAGGCAGTCTTGGGCCACTGTCCCCCTCCCCGCAGCAGCAGCAGCAGTTTGGGTATGTGAGGGGGCTCAGGGCTGGGGGGAGGTGAGGGCTCTAGGCGGCGCTTACCGGAAACAGCGACATCCCTCAGCTCCTAGGCGGAGGCATGGCCAGGCAGCTCTCGGCACTGCCTCCACTCCCTGCCCCCAAACACCCGCGGTGCCCCTGTGCTGCCCACCCCCCCTCCAGCATTCGTGGCGCCCCCCCTCTCCCCCACACCTGCAAGATTTAGTCAGGGGTATACAGTACAAGTCATGGACAGGTCACAGGCCGTGAATTTTGCATCTGATGAAGTGGGCTTTAGTCCACGAAAGCTTATGCTCAAATAAATTTGTTACTCTCTAAGGTGTCACAAGTACTCCTCATTCTTTCTGCTGATACACACTAACACGGCTACCACTCTGAAACCTGTTTACTGCCCGTGACCTGTCCATGACTTTACTAAAAATAACCCTGACTAAAACATAGCCTTAACTATAAACTTACTCCAAATGTAAAAATAAACAAAGTATGAGACATTAAGGATCAGTCTTAAGTACTACAAACAAGGCTATTCAATCCCATCAGTCAGTGCAGCAACCTCCGTTTCAATTATAGGTGAACCCTATTGTGTTTCACGCTAATCATAACATTCTCCTTAACGAGTTTTGGAACAAAAATATTAGTCTACTATAAAATCAGGAGCCAACTATCTCAGCTCCTCTCACAGCACAAAGCAAAATTAATGAACTACTACAGAATGTGTACCCAATCTACTTATGCATCCTTTAGTACTTCTTAGCATTTAAAAAATTTAGGAGTAGCACTTCAATATTCAATGACATCTAGTTTTCTAGGCCACAAATTTTTTATTTTTTGTACTCCTTTTAATTTCAAAGGAAGTTTATCAACCCTTTCTACTTTTCTCCAATACATATTTTGGATTTTTCAATAAAAAAATTGAAATCCCACTTTGAAAGCCAACTCAGTGTCTCACATACAAGGATGATTTAAATGGTCTAATGAGATTAGTAACACTAAAAATATTTTTAGTACCAGTGTTACTCGGATACACCGAACATGTAAATACAACTGATTGTGAAGTGTCAAATTCAAAGCCCATTAACTCTATGAAAAGATTCTATTTACTTAGGTGTGTTTTGGATCAAGCTGCAAGTAATTTTCATCATGGTGACTATCTTTAGCACTCATTCTTATCAGACAAATTGAATTGTAAGTAACTGTAGAAAATAAAAGGGTGTTTAAATATGTTAGTGTTTCTACTTGATTCAACTAACTTAGGTCCCAATTATCCTGCAACTCAAGCCCATACAGTCAGTTGCAGGACCAGAACCTTAATCTGTAGCAGTTTAGGTAAAATATTCTTGAGATAGTTTGCTGTTCAATCAATCTGTTCTTTAGATTTACACCCCCCCCACCCACACACACACTTCATATATTTTTAAAAATATACATATGCAGGTGATTATGACCCAATTCTTACCTTTCTCTGTTAAATTTGAGTGAATGAAGTATAGCGGGTCTCTTTTGACGCAAATTCCATAGGTGTAAGGTGTCATCAGCCAAGGCACTCACAAGAGCTCCCTTGAGAAAAAGGATCATTCAGATGTTCATCTACATTTAAAGTTTATACTATCTTTCACTTGTGTAATATTCAGTTTCCAGAGACTTGTTTAACCAACATCAATGTGAAGAAATTTTATAGCAAGACCATCATTCAAACTGAAAAGTGCTATAGTAAATTTATACTACTACTTAAAGTAACAGCTTCAACTTTAAAAATTTACTTTTGGGGTAAATGTAATAAGAACATTAATAAAACATGGAAATGAGTACCAGTTTTATTTATTGAGAAGGTACATATTTTAAGCTACTGGATCACATTAAATACAATATACTATGTGTATTTCACCACAGAAAAAAAGACTAATTCTTAAATAAGTCACATATTGCCTTGTAGAAAGTAATAAAGCTTTTGGTGATATTTCTGAGGGAGCATTTAGAAAAATATTTACCACTTTTCAGAAAACTATTTAGTTTTCTGATATCCCTTATAACGGTTATTTTACATCAATGTCTCAAGAAAAAACAGTAGTTTGTTCCGTAAGATCCCAGAACTACTGTATCACATTTCATGAATATTCTTGAAACTACCACAAAATTTATAAATTAAAGGTTTGTTTTTTAAACTACCAGTTCTGTCTGACAATGTTAACACCTACTAACTCTTACAAATTACATCTCCGAGTAAATTATTTAAGAGCCTACAGGAAAACAAATATTTTTATTTTTCCAGCTGGTTTACTTCTTACATGTGACAGCATTTTTGTTAGTTTCCTCTGTCTGAACTAAGCAACAAGAGACAGCAAAAAATAAATTAAAACTCAGAATTGTTAAGCCACAAAAATTGGCAAGGTGTTTCTGGAGCAGATGTAGATAAATTAATCTCTTTTAAATGACCTATCTTTCATATTAATGGTGTCCCTTTAAATTCCAGATGTGTAGCTACTCAATTAACAATGTTTTAAATAAAGATCAGACTAAATAGCTTTGGCAAATGTTTAGAAAGATGGTGAATGAGGTAACATCTTTTACTGGGTTAACTTCTGTTGGTAAAAGAGACAAGCTTTCGAGCTTATCCATTCTGCAATGTTTGACCATAGTTTTTCCTAAGAAAACCTATGAACATTATTATGTTGTTTACTGTGATAAAATACCCCAAAGAGAAAATTACTTTAGTACTTTATTTTTGGACACCTGTATTTTTTTCTTGGAACAGAGCAAGAACAAAGTTAATATATAAGGACAATGAATAAATTATTACTATTCGATAAATATATGAAACAGTAATTCATATTCTTATTTGTATTTGAATGCTTTAAAAACACAGCCTTAAATATATGATGTACATTCTTTTTGAATGACAGTAAAGATTAAACTCTTTACAAACCTCATTAATCAGGAACTGGAGCTGGATTACTGCAGCTTCACTGTCATGTTGGCAGTAGCATTCAACTCCTGGCCGACCAAAACTGACAATGCTATTAAGGAATAACTGTTGTATGTAACAAAAAATTAGTAAAAATGAATATTATAAAAGACTTGATGTTTCTGAACAAGTCCTAAATAGCTTTGCAATTTGGTGCTTGCATTATTACCAATTTAATTAATTATAAAACATGCTTATGTAATAATCAGAAAAGTTATAAATCACAAAGCCATTTCAAAATGCAGATCAGACACTTTATTCCTGTTCTTATTTACAATATAAATTAAGCCCCATCTTAATGATGTTCCAAAACTATTACTTAAACTTTTCACAAATTTGGCTGAGGAAGGATCAAAGTGGCAAGGGAATGGCAGAGAAGTAATTCCAAAGGACAATGAGGTATTATGGCAGTTGTGAACTCACTGTCACCCTCTCTATGCTCAGAGGGTGACTGAAAGGCTTTCATATTGGTAGGATTGAGGTAAACCCGGGACTGAACCACAAAAGGTGAAACCTAGACTTACTTCTCAATGAGTCCTTTATTTCTCTCCTTAAGAAATAAGGACTCCTCCTCTTTGGTGCCTTTCAGAACTGTAGGAAAAACATTACTTGCTAGTTAATTTTGATCTTTTGCCCTTTCCACTATCTCACATTTAGTTACAGAGCAGTGAGGAAATGGAAAAAGCTGCTGGAGCACCTTAAGACCAGCAGGCTAATCAAAGCGGTCAGTGAAGAAATGCAGGGCCATGTTTAAATTAGTATTTAAAAGACGATTTGAGAGCTCTCATTGAAGGAAATTCTAGTCTTCTTATGCTCTCCAGTAATGGTCTGACTCTCCTACTCTAGTTCAGGGTTAGAGAAACAATCAAAGGGGCTTTTCAGTGGACGGAACTTAGGCCAAAATATTATAACACTATCATATGCAATATATCGGTGGAACACCACCTCGACTACTGTGTTCGGGTCCTATCACTTCATCTCAGAAGAGATATAGCAGAAAGAAAAGAAAGCCAAAGATGGGCAACTACAATGACTAGAAGAATGGAAAGAATTCCATGCAACGACAGATCAAAATATTGGGTCTGTTTAGGTTAGAGAGGAGGTGAAGAAGAGGGAATGCTGTAGAGATATATAAAATAAAGAATGACATGGAGAAGGAAAACAAGACAATCCTATTTAATACAAAAACCAAGACGATATTAAATTAAATTGAAAGAACTAATTAAGACTGAAAAAAGAATTTTAACAATATGTAATTAACCTGTGGAACTCCCTGCCACAGAAAATTGAGGAAAAGATGCAAGATGCATTTATATGGACAGCATCAATTATATGGAAGGTTTAGACAAGTTAAGTAGTCTGGCATAAGCCAACTACTAACTGCTTGAGGGCAGAAAGAATATTTCCCTGTGGACAAAGTTATTCAATATTTGTCCACTAATGGTTTTGTGCACCATTTTCTAAAGCATCCGATACTGACTACTGTCAGAGACAGAAGTCTACGGTATATAGACAGCTCATCTGGACCAGTACAGCAATTCCTATCTGTTTTAACCCTTTAGGAGCGCCAAACAACACTGTTTGAATGTTCAATCAACATTACTTCCTACTATGATTCAGCTATGGTACAGAAAACTTACGTCACAATAGGATAACACAATTAGTTATCTTATTCTTGTCTAACTTAATTTGACATCTAAAGGTTTCATAGAGCATCTACAACTGTATTATTGAAGTGACACTCAGTACCGTAAATCAGTTTACCACCACAACCTCATAAAATGTCAACTTTTTGAAGGAACAGCCAAGAGAAAAACAGTAGTTATTTCACAAAGAAACATATGGACTGTTAATTGATAGGCGATTGTAAAAAGATGGGAGTTCTTAATCTCACTGCGTGTTGTAAATATCTTATTTAAAAACAGGATTGTCTTTTCCTTTCTCACAGCAAAAATAATCTTAGTCTTTCCAGTGTGAATGGTCTGACAACTGACTCTGGTATACTCCTAGACAGTAAATTAAACTGATAGGATAATATTTTCTGCTGCCAAAAGACAAAAAAAGGAGGATTTAGCATTCGTGAAAGTTATCAGAGAAGCTTGTATTTATCTTTTAACAGGTTCTTCAGGAACAACAGTATATCCACACAGCCACAACTACTGAAAGAAGGTTGTATTTTAAAAAAAAAAGTTTGGCACTTACGTAGAATCATACATATCAAAATCACTCTCCAAACACTAAATATTTATCACAGATACTATAGGGATAGCAGTAATTACCCCTGTATTAACACTGTCAACCCATTACCTTATGAAAATTCTTCCAAACATTTTTTGAAAAGCTGCAGGACTGGCACTAGAAAGACCCAGTGATAATCCAATCATATCTGGCCAGGTTATAAATAAAAAAAAAAATCCACTATTTTTATTTTGTGTTTTGTTCACTACACCTTCTTCCTGGCTTGCTGCCGAAAGCAACAAAATTTCATCAGTACTGGTCATTCACAGCTCCAGTCTTGTGCTTCAGCAACTCAGAGCACTAAGCCTCTGGAGAAAACAAAGGTGAATCATGATGCTTTCCCCCATCAAAATACCCTGTGCGTAAGGAGTTGGTGCACAGAGCTGGTAACTAGAAAACTGATGTCTAGATACACTTCTACTGATCAGTGTTGATTCTGAGTAGTTGTAACCTTTACTAATTGAGGTCTAATGCCCCACTAAAAAGTCACATGGCTGAGAATAGAACCCAAAACCTGCCTCAGATGTAGTACATTCTGCACACTGTTTCAGTGGGTCACCTGTGCTCCACTAATACCTAGTTCATATAGGAGAATAGTCTTCCGCTGCTAGCTAACGGTAGTTACTACTTTAACCTCAGCGATAGAGGCTCATATTAAAGTACTGAAAGTCCAAGGTACCTTGATGATATTTATGATTGAGGGTGGACTGTGAATTATACAGTTGCAAATAATAGAATTTGCTTTTATTTTTTAAATCTACATACTTACACATAAACTATATTAAAAATGTTAAGACTGCAAAGTCAAGAAGTCAGAAGTCAAGAAATACCAAAATTAAGATGGTCTGTACAACCTTAGTGTGTATGCACAAGGGAGCAGAATTGATACAGTCTTTAATTACATGGGCATATAGCATTTTATCCAGAGAACCATTGCCTTATTCAGTACATAGCATGGATGGTGGTGAGGCACTCTTACTTTCTGGAGATGTTATATAGTAGAAACAGAATTAAATGAGAAATTGATTTGGCACATCCAAAAGCAAAGAAAAAATCCACAATCACGCACGTATAATTGCGTGCAGAGCTATTTCTGAATATCTACTGCTGAGAAAATGGAGTTGTATAAAGTATGATATACTGAAAAAGTCTGGTAAAAGTTACTATCTGAGTTACTGGTTCATATCCAAATGTTATTAGTGGTAAGCTATTTAGAAGCACCATCTCCAGTAATGTAACAATTGAAATTATCAAGCTTTGTATGCTAGGATTTCCTGGGTTCACACGAGTAACAAAAATATATTTGCAACAAAGGGTTTTCCCAAATAGTACAATTAGCACTAAGCCACCAGAATGAATATCAGACAAATGACAGAGATTCTCTTCTGTCTCCACATCAAATATTTCAGATGTTTTAGTTTAGAATTTACAACAGTACAATGTTTCAAAAGTTTCTCAGGCACCAATTTCAAGTTTAAATTAATGTAAATCACAATTTCACTTATAAAAGATTAAGGGTTTTCTTCCACCCCAGAAGAAAGAGAAAAATACTTAGAGAAAAATGAGGGGAAAAAAGCAATGAACACCACAAATGCTCTGTGTGAAGTAGCCCAGAAAGCAAGCTTGCAGTATAGTAGCAATTTTGCCAAAGGGCTGTGTATCTTGTTCTCAAAAATAAGGCAACTATTTAAAAGCACAAAACAGCTCAGAATGTCAATTAGGGAAAAAATGGAAAATATGCAATTAATTCTTTCTACATATAATATAACCTCAAAGTTCATTACAGGAAACTGGCAGAACCTTCAGCATTCTGCAGTTCTGCAACTAGTTCTTGTTTGTACTGAAAATTTACAGTTGGAAAGTGGAATGCATACAATATATACATGTTTTGTGTACTGTCAGTTCCATTCAAAGTGGAGTCTATATATTAAAAGGATGAAAACAAATTGCATTTACTGCGTTCACTTTGGCTGGCAGCTAAGATCAGGAATGCTGTGGATGTCAACTGGCTAGTCAGGTGCCTCCAACAACTTTCAAACAGGTGGTTGGCGGGGAGTGAAACATAAGTGAGATTTTCAGGCAGGAATGTACTTATGGTAAGGGAGTTGGTCTTTGCAAGTTTTTTTAAACACTACACTTACCAAAAGTACAGACACATTAAAGTATACTAAATTACCATCTGCTTCAATACATACTAATATTGTGTTGACTGCTAAACTTCAGTTCATTTGTTTTTCCTTTACTACACTGATGAACCAGTACACAATTGACTAAGTGATGCAAAACGCAACGAACAGATGTCAGAGAATTCAGCATCCTCCACAATGCCAGCTTTCTTCCACACAGAATTAGTAGTTTACTTTAACCCCCAGGGCCAACAAAAATGCAACAGCTAGCTATGTTTCCTTCCCAATCTTTTTATTGGGTTTCATCTGAATTTGCAATAGATATAAACTAGTATCTTTACTATTTCTTATTGTAAAATATCAAATTACTCATGAATCATTTCTTTTGGAAAAAGAAAAGGAGTACTTGTGGCACCTTAGAGACTACATACAAACTAATGTGAAGAGAGTGGTTACTTTGGATGGGCTATTACCAGCAGGAGAGTGAGTTTTTGGGGGGGGGGGGGCGCCGGAGGGTGAGAAAACCTGGATTTGTGCTGGAAATGGCCCAACTTGATGATCACTTTAGATAAGCTATTACCAGCTATTACACTTTAGATAAGCTATTACAAACTATTACATAAGTTCTGAAAATCAATGAACAGACATCTGCTTATTGGGTTATAGTAAAAAAAAACCC